GGTCAGAATGCTTGGAAAGGTATGTATGCCCACTTAAATTATGTACACTGGGTTTACCATAGAGGTTCACTTTTTTCATCCCTAAAAATACGCTCAATCCTTATCGTCCTTACACATTCTCGTTTGCCCTGAATGCACTATGATTTTAACAGCAAGCAGTGCAGTTGGTTTCGCTGTATTGATCGAACCCCGGCATTCACGGACCTTGGCCTGGGCAACCTGGCAGTACTCAGCCCACAAGCCAATCGTGGAACATTTCTTTTTTATAAAGATTATTGTACCATGATTTGTTTGGCACACAGTCTGTCCTCAGACAAGTGTGAAATATATATAATATAATAATTCACGGACATGTGAAGGAAGTATCTGAAGCAGTCCTGAAGCGGATAGATCAAAACTTTCGTGCAAAGCGCTTTCTGTTATATGATGGAGCATTTGTCTATCTACCTGCTGAGTCTGGTATTCGGTGGAGAAGAGCCTAGGTTGGTCAAACTAAGACCTGACATGAGGGAATGAAACCCTAACCAGGAGACTCGGTCATATGAATCGTGTTAAGCATCTTGTGTGGGGTCTTCGGGATCACTTTAGTCAATGAATAATAAGGGTAATGATGCTGTGTTACGGGTGATTTGATCCCATTGATACAGTGTTTTTTGTCATGTCTTTCGTGTTTTAGTCATGACGGAATTTACATGATCACCTCTTCTGGTGGTCCATAAACAATCGCATTGGTAAAACTTATTCAATGTGTGTTTCCTTTCAGGTTTTTGCAAATGAGAAGAAACGGTTGAAATTCACCTTTCGTCCCGATATGGTGTTCGCTAAACCTGCATCCGCAGATGGAGTACAGGTGACCGGTTTACTGCTTCGTGTAAAACGATTACGGAATCGTCGAACTGGGGAGATAAAAATAGACTCCACGGTGATTGGACGAGTCAGTCGGATGTATAAGTTTGATGGTAATTAGCGTCCTTTTTGTTTTTGATCAAAAACTTGGTTTACTTCTTTCAACCTAATTAGTCTTAGCACACCTAGTTCTGCTGACTTTCGAAGTAATTTGAATTTTCGCTAGGAATCTAAGAGAATGTTATTTTGAAAAGCAATTTTGAACTGCCGGTTTATTTTCCGGTTTTTCTGACTATAGTTCAGTGACTGTATCTTGTTGTTACATCAGTTTTGCATTCCACAAACTGTCTAAAAGCCTGGTTAATCCATATCAGAGTTGGATGTGCTACCCTTCCTCTTTAACTGGCTCTCAAACCCTCATTTCCGGTTAGTCGATACAGCCTCGATCTAGTCCAAGACCAACTCGATTCTCATGCCTGCACCGTCTACGGGCGGCAGATCACCGACAGAGCATGATGCCAACTAAAAGTTCAGAAACGATGATGACCAAACTACCTCCGCGGTTATCACAAGAGGTTCCGTGGCCTTGTAAATCCTGAAATTGACCGACTCATACCATTCAGTGAAACTTTTGGCCTCTTCCACATTTAACCCAGAAGTTTCATCAACTCCAGGACCAGGCTGACCCTCTCCTTAGAAGCCGATGGAAACAGCCCATCTGGGCCGGAGACCTTATACCTTCTAAGATTAATTAATTTCCAGGTATTCCCCATTTCAGATGGTGGACGGATATCAACTGGCAGTATATTCTTAACCGAGGTAGGGGTTGACGGGTATAATGTCGGTGGGGGTCAGTTGAACTGGTTCTCGAAATATTCTGCCCATCGCTCCAGACGGCGTTACTGAATACGAAGGACCCTACGACTACTTTCCGTGAGGCTGTATTTCTGACGAGATAAAAAAGAGTGCGATTGCTACCAGTAGTCGCGCACGTTATCTCTCTACACTGCTCACTACCACTACTCACCTCAAGCTCCTAATCAGTTGACGTTTTGGGGATTTGCGCTCTCTATCGTATTTGGCATTTGAAGGAATGGTTCTGCGAGCTTCCAGTGAGGCAACACATCTCGATGAGATCCATCGTTTGTTCTGTGATCGTGCGTCAGAATCCTCCGTTTCGGTCGACATTTGGATAGCTTTCTGGATGAATGTCCAATGTTCATTGAGTCCTTCGGTTTGTGATTGAGAGGTGGTGAGAGAGCTCTGATTCGAATGCCGATTTGCAACTGTCGCTAACATTGCGTTATGGACCATGTAGTGTGTGTAGTGTTCTGATTTCCAATATTCTTCTGAGTTCCTCTTGAGTTGGATGGTAAAATACAATCAGTGGTTCAATGAATATATTGTCTGGAGATGTTTTAAACTGCTGAACACAAATGAAGCTTTGGATTGTAAGTTAGAAAGTGATGTTTACTAATTGTAGCGGATGTTGGTGTGTTCTCCGACCCGGAAGTGTTGTTCGCAGATATCTCGTAACCGGACTTATTCTGTGCATTGGATTGATGCTACTCAGTTCATCCATTAAAAAAACCTTTCTAAGGTTAGTGGCCAATAAATCAGGTATTCTAGTTCCAAAATATGCTCGAAAGCCATAAGCCTCTAATATAAAGGTTTGAATCTGTGATCGAATCGTTTGGTGGTTTAATATGCAAGTATGTATATTTTCTCGTTTATCTTGTATCTGCCACTCCAAACTAAGAACTTTGCAAATGCAATGCTTTTAAAAAAATTCTCCTTTTCAGCAATGGTTGATTTTCAGTTCGGTCCTTTCGAGCGGTTATCAATGTCTGATACATATTCGAAACCATTCTCCATCTCCAAGGAAGATAATCAATTCCGCGTGTTCTATGACGACATTGTGTTAAAGGATCCAACTACACGGTTGGAACCGCACCTCTGTCGTCACACCCCTCTTTATCTCCCTCCACTACTGTTCAGTCGGTCGGATGTTCCATTTCTGTACAACTTTGCCCCCCGCTATCGTTCCTCTGAATATGTGGAACTAGAAGAAAAGTCCCAACGTCTTCCAGTCGGTAAGTACCTTTCGGGCACCATCTGTCCATCCGGTTGGTGGCACCAAATGGAGCCTCCTTTATGGACACCTTTGACAGTGAGAAAACGATGACCGCCCTATGTATACTGTTTGTATTCCGATTTGTTTATAACCCAACAGGTAACCATAGAATGGTCGTCTGATAGGCTTTAATCTTTTTATGCAGTAATAATACCCCAACTGAAATTAATGATCGGAATATCAATCCTGAGTACTTGAACGACAATATCCTCACTCAGCCAAATGTTCGGTGGTATGACGTCCTTATGAAGCTGATGAATTTCTCTGAGATATGATGGTTTCTCAAACAGTCCCAAAGAGTGGCACGATCAACAAGAAGATGCCAAGTCGATAATGTTGCCTTACCAGGGGCTGTTTGTGACATTTATAAAAACATTCAGACTAACCTCTTGTTACTAGAAAAATCCACATCACTTATCCAGGAACATTGGTCAACGAAATGCGGCGGAGTTTTCAGAGATGTTACGTCAATGTAATCATCAACACACACTTTGATACACTCAGTTAGTTTCGTTTTTAAACCACTCGTAAACTCCTTCCATACGGACTTGTTAAGGCTTTGTTCTCATCCCTTTCTCTATCTTTGGTGAAAATAGCACTCTGTTCGCATTAGATATCTGTTTCACCTTGTTTATCAGAATCCGCATCGTGCTTTTCGTGACTGAATTGGCTTGTGCATTTATGTCTTCATTGCGGGGTTCACTAAATATCAGATGTGGTTATGAAGTGGGGACGTACAGCGAAACACAGTGAGGTGAACCTCACTGATCGCTGCCAAACTCGCAATTCATACAGGGTTAGTGGTAAAATTTAAGATGAACAGGGACTGGACCTATTTTGAAGCAAGAGGAAAAAAGTGAACCTCTATCGTCAGNATCGTCAGCACACAGAGCACACAATTGAACTCTGCATACATACCATTTCAGGCATTCTGGTCTGATAATAGGTGACAGTATGATCGCCACTTCTGTCGGTTTGCTGCCGTGACCTTCACTGTCTCCAAACAAACAGCTACAGAATCTCTTGGACAACAACCTGAAGACGGGAGGCACCTATTCTACCCAATCGCTTTGTGCATTTGTTCATGCCTCGTATCCGCGTCATCTGTTGATCTCCACGTGGTTTCCTCCAGCCCAGAGCGGCTACAGCGAATAAGGCGCGATGTGGTAGACGGTAACTGGACATCAGTTTCAGTTTTAGTTTAAACAGCCGTTAAACATGCATTTCCGTGCGAAGCTTTTGGTTGCTGTCTTTTGGCTGCCCCCTTGGGTGAACAATAGGAGGAAAACAGGAAGGTTGAAAGTAGGATCGAAGAGAAAAGTGAGAAGTACAGTGCACTGACGATGCAGAAAAATTGAATATTTCCTGTAGCTGGTCATGTGCAATACGCGTCCTAACCAGCGAAGTCTACTAAACTGAATGCGATGTGCTAGCAGGTTTATACCTGACTTTCAAACACACAATGGCTTACTTCCAGATTACTATCCCGTTCGCTCAATGCCACGTAAGCGAAACAACGGAAATTTCGATAGTCGAAAACCTCTAGGCGATGGTGAATTCAAGGTTTCACAACCATGAAGCGGTCAGTTCTGCTTTATGGTTGCGAGATCCTAAATTTGCGCGTGGAAGATATTCGTCGTCTAGAAGTGTTCGATTGCCGATATTTACGTAGTTTACCGCTGGTAGGATGGAGCCAGCTTGTAATCAACTCTGAAGTAAAATGTCGCGTATTTGGTGATGATTCGATGGAGAATTCGTTGTCCCATCGAATTCAGATTATCTAAACAGTCCCACAGAGCACATTTTCAAATAGACCAAGGAGTGGCGAACAAGCTCGTTTTCAGTGATTCGTAGTCATGCCAAATACATCACAATAAATATTACGCTGTTTATATATGATATTGAATGCTGATTTATATATAAACAGCGTAATATTTTTTGTGATGTATTTGGCATGACTACGAATCACTGAATTCAGATTAATCGGCTTCGCTGGTTAGGACACGTATTGCGCATATCCAGCCACCGTCTGCCACACCGCACCCTGTTCACAGTTGCGGCTCCAGGTTGGAAGAATCCGTGTGGAGGTCAACAGATGACGTGGAGACGAGGCATGAGTAATTGCACAGAACCATTAGGTAGAGTAGGTGTCTCTCGTCTTCCAGGTTGGTTTCCGAAAGACTGCAACTGACTGGTTGGAGACACTGAAGTATATGGCGACTAACGGAGAGCAGTGGCGTTCTTGTCATTTCCTATCAGGTCAGAATGCTTGGAAAGGTATGTATGCCCACTTAAATTATGTACACTGTGTTGACCATAGAGGTTCTTTTTCTTTGCTTCCCTCCAAGTCGACCCAATCCCTCTCCATCTTGTACTTTATTAGTTGGTTTGTATACATTGTGAGCTTGGCAGCGGTCAGTGAAGTTCGCTTCACTATCTCGCTATACGATAACGATGAAGCAGAATTGAACGAACGGTAGCACAATGTATACGACCTTTCGTCTGACGTGAAACGTCGCTAGTCTATCAAGGATGAGCAGTTGGAATTTCAATGAATCGTACTAACAAGCATATCATTGGGGCCTTTTGGAGGGTCTGAACTTTGCGATTACTTTGTCCACACGGAATCATGACCAGTCATTGGCAAGATTCAAGTCCTTCAGATGTGCTCTTCTAGCTGACCATACTTTGTTAATCCATACGGTTTTTTCGTTCCTCTTAAATCTTGTTTTAATTTTTTTTGTTTCCAATACTAGCCCGAAAGGCCCGACCATCCTATGGCTCGTTTGTGAAGTTGAATCAACCAACTCCGATGGAACCAAATCCTCTGGCACTGCAACGCATTCATAGGCTGGGATCCATGGTGGTACAGACATTCGAGTTTGTTACTGAGGTGTGTCTCATCTCCCTTTTTTGTTACCTTCCATTTGTCTTGTATAGTTAATTGCTATCACGATCGCTGAAGGCGTTGGCGTTTTCCGTTCGGTATTCCGTGCTTTCAGGTGATCTCGCTGCGGGTTGTTACGAATTTTTGGCTGGTGATGTAATAACCGAAAAAGAGCAGTGGTCACTTCTTTCGTCCTGGTAGGTACTCGCCACCGGTGCCTACTATTTCTTTTGTTATCTCTGTTGGAACTTGACACAATTGTGTGCATCTGTAATACCCTAAATCGGTTAACACGATGTTCGGAAACGTCAATAACACACGGATCATAGATGGATGCTTTTTTGTGTCCGCTAATTGAAGTAGACTGATTTTCATCTACATCAGTAGGAACAAGATACTATTCAAATGCATTCATTGTTAGGAGCAGCAATACGGTCGTCCACTCCTATCCCTGTCTTATCCTATTATGTCGGTAAAGACAAGCGGTT